CTCATTCCCATGCATAGAAAACAGTAATTTAATTTAGAATGATCTTTTCCTGATATGTAAACATTCTTATCGTCTGATTCTTCTTTTAAGTAGATAAGAAATGACATTTATTTTTACCTGTCAACGTTGATTGCATCCGTTGATAACGAGATAAAAACAAGAATAGTCAACAATTTGAGAAAAAAAAAAGCAGAATGAAATTATTTACAAGTTTCAGCTATTAATTTCATATCATATGCTGTACTATTTGCATCAGTTGAATCAGGAAGCTTAGTATCTGCATGTATCTCATTTAGAGGAGTGAATGCTGATCTCAGACAATTTAAACTCTAAAAAAGATTCATAAATATTATATATACAGTCAAACCAAAATGTATTGAGACACCCTTGTATTTTTTCATATTTATTGATTTGTCAAGTAGAAACAAGAGATAAAGTTCTTCGTTTTCATCAGTAAATAGTCCTTGCTTCATATTATTTTCTATATCAAAATCAGACATGTGCGCTACCATCTTGAAGTATGGGACGTTGTTTTTTGTAAAACCAGCCGATTTTTCATATAAAAGTATTCACGTTTCAGATATCAGAATTATATCATCTGTTTATCAGCGGAGTGTGTACAACGAGCTCCATGCATTCGCATGATTATCAATAGAGAAAAATAATATTCACAATGAAAACTTTCAAAGAAAAAGATCGTTTAATATGATACTATAGATGAAAAATTATCTAGATTTTTTTTTGTAAATTATTTTCTAAATATATTACTGGAGAGCCCATCAAATGGTACATGAAATTTGATGATTTGACAAAATTTTGGCTGCAAAAACTAAAGTTTGGAGAGAAGTATTTTACTTAAATATTGATGTTACATGCAGTCCTTAAAAGAATACTCAACTGAATTCATGAAAAAAGCTAACGTAACAGAAATATGTATTATAGAATACGACAGAGAAAAAAACTCTCTACACACTGATACATTTATGAGCGAAGTATCCTTGTGGTATCAAGTTATGTACAAAAGTGTCCGAACAGTTTTTGCTTTGACTGTAGATGATGGTTAATTGTTTTCCTTTCTTTTTTTTATGGATTGTATTATCTTATTTCTCTTTTTAGTTTTCTTACCTTAATAGATATTTCCCCAGCTTGTTCAGCCATTTTCGTAGTAGTTATTTGTGCTGCTTCTACCGTTTCTCTACCACCCGACGCTATGTTTTCTGCAACTATATCAGATGGTGATTTCAATGTTGTATCATTTTTATCGGCCAAATCGACAAGACTGGCAATAAAAAGAAATGAAAACTCGTAGTTCAACAAATTAGAGATTCATAATTTATGTTAATTCATCTCGAATTACATTACATGTAAATAATTTGCAATGCAAAACTTCTGTCAGTTACTTTGCAAAATATTCGAGATCTTAATTATTACTACATAGTTTTACATAGTGTGTTAACCGTAAGCGATAGTTCATTTGAATCTATTCGTACTATAATGACTCATGAGAATATGTTTCAAGAAAAAGCATCGAGAGTGAAAAAAATATATTTCGATGGCTTTCAATGTTTTTTTTTTCTTAAAAACTAATTGTGTAAAGTTATGGTTGATGATTTGTACATGGAAGTTCATAAGTTTATTGTGTAATAATTATTCAATAATCACTTGTCTACTAATTAGACTAAACAGTACAATTTGCATGTTAGATGAATTAAAATCGTACTATCGACAAAGTTTGTATAACACTTCTTAAAAAAGAAGTTTTATAATTTAATAAATAAAAAAAAATCATTCTCAATAGCATGTACAATATGTGTACAACTGCAGTCTACTAACTATCAACATCAGTGACATAATCTAGATCGTGCACGCTAGTTCTAGTGTTAGAGAAGCATCGAAATAGAACGATGCAGAAAGAGCATAGTTTTGATAGAGTTTGTGTTTGACTTTTGTAGAAAATTCTGATGTCAATTTAGTCAGTATATCAACTTTACACATACCTAGAGTCTACTCAAGACACATCTAAAACTCATATGTATGCTTTTTCTTCTTGTTCGAAAATGAATACATGATGTACGTGAAAACAACATGAAGTTTAATGTAAGACAATAACTCACCGCATATATTCATCATCCCAACGGCCATAACATAAATCAATTCCACCAACGAAGGCAATCTTTTGATCGATAACAACCATTTTTCATGATGAGACCACAACAGTACTCCATTCGTAGTATTATGATTTGGATGTCGAATAACCTTAGAAATTAAAGTAAATAAGCTATTTTTGTTCTTTTGAATTAAAATATTAAACTGACTTTAATAAATCCTTTTGCATTTTTCGACACTAATTTTCTTTCTGTATATAAACTATTTAAACCTAAAGCAAATGGCATTTCCTTATAAAGCATTACATAAACACGAACTCCTGCATCCTACAATTCACAGATAACATTTTATTAAACATAAATATTACAACAAATCAAACTCATACAGCTATTCTTCCTAATATATTATCAAGTCGAAATGTTTTATCATCTGCTGGTCTAATCAACATAAGTTCAGGTGAAAGCCACCAATCAGTAATAAAAACTTCTTCTTTAGCTGTTAAAAGTGCTTTAGCAACGGCTTCCATATATGTTTTACCATTAATGAACCTATATTAAACATTCTATTTTAATACAAGTTTATTTTATTATGTTACCAATAAACTAATTGATTTGCTCGAACAGGTACATATGAATCAAATCGACTTCGTGTTTCATTGACAAAATCTTTTGCTTGTTCAGTTAAATTTGATAAATTTTTTGTCCATTCATCACAATCACGTGCTGTTCGAGAATTAATAACTAATGTACGCTGTGAATTGCTTATTTTAATACTATCATTACTAGCAATATTTTGAAGATCAGTGGAAACTTGAAAATCACGATCAACTAACATAGGAAAACATATTTCATGTGTATCTGGTCGTATATCAACTATATAGCTATCTTTAATAACAAACCATCTATATTTTACAAAATAAAAGTCTTTTTATTGAAAATATTGTTCATAGGAAAAAAGATACTTAGGGCATACCAAAAGTACTGGCAGTGACACTTTAATACCTTATAGTAGGCTTTAAGAAACTTTCTTTCTATATAGTCTGATAGAGAAAAAAATGCTCCATCTTTCTATACTATTTGATCGTACTTCAACTAATCTCATAGTATTAAATTATCTATAAAACCAATTTCGGCTGGTTATATGCTGGTTGTAAGTTTTGCATTGCAGTTTTCGATTTCTTAGTAGTTGTATTAATAACCAAAATATACTATAAGATGCAGCGTGAAAAGCTCTACAATTTGCATACGACCACTTATTTTATAGCTGCAATTTTTGTTTTCGAAATCGACAAAATTTGGAGCAATCAAATTGTGAAGATGCGAAAAAGACAATGTTTCGATACACAACGAATTCATTTTTGTTATTTCATTGTTTATCACCTGATATGCTTTACCAAAAGAAAAACAAAATATACCACAAGATGCAGCGTGAAAAGCTCTACAATCTACACAGTAAAGCTTATTGTAATTGTTTTCAAAAAAAGGAAAATTCTATGCGACCAATTTTCTCAATACCGAAAATTTGATCCCTCAAAACTTTATCGATTTTGAAAGCAAAAAGTGCAGCTATAAAATAAATGGCCTTATGTAAATTGTAGTGCTTTTCACGCTGCATCTTATGGTATATTTT